AAACCCATTCCTTCAAAAACAACAACAACAACAAAACAACAACCCTGAAAATAACTATCAGTCACTAGAATATCTGGTATACACATAATGATCATTAAGTGAAATTAATGAAATGCCAAATGTACTTGAGGTTTCAAAAAAAAAAGTAAACTAAACACATTTCATATGGAGAAAAGTAAATAAAAGACATACAACTTCATATTATGAAGTATAGATAGAAATGTTCCATGTTCTACAGGCCACTTTCTTTCTATTGCTATTTGAACTATTCCTCATATATTTTATATTAGTACACAAATCTGTAAATAAACCATACATTCATATATACTATTCTAGATGATAACATGTCTTCACATTTCACAGAACAAGAGATAATGCAGTCGAATATGCTGGGATAGATTTCTCCCTTCTGATTCTGAGATGCATGCTAATTTAAAGGGCAAAAAATGCCCTAGTTATTTTTCTTACTAGGCACTGCTTTATAAAGTAAAAATGCTTTTATTTAATAGGTAATAGCTGTGCAATTGTTATTGATTTAGTAGACTTACTGTTCTTTCTTTTATAGTGAAATGATGAAATTAAAATTATAATGAGATAATTGTTCAAAACCCAAGCTTTATCTTATATTGAAAACATATTTTAATTGTATTAAAATACTAATTGACAAGTATTTTTTTGAAATATTAGTTTTTGACAACTTTAATGTCCACCAAATTTTTAAAATGTTTTTCCAAGGAAAAATTTTAATATTAAAAAAGTAGAATGGTAGAACAAATCTCCATATACCATCATCTATTGATCCAACAGTTTCAATACTTTGCTACACTTGTTTTATTTATCTTTTATGTATATATTTATTGTAATACTTTGAAGAAAATTCTAGGCCCCATGTCTCCCACTGCTACATATTTAATAGGCATCTATAGAATCATATAAAATTGGTGTTAATCAATTTTTTCTTTAGTTTGAGACATTACTGAATAGAAATGTTAAAGTGTCTACTTGCAACCATGCTATAATAATGCATAACTTTTAAGATTTATTTAAAAAGTACAGAAGACAAAATATTAAAAATTCCAAGTGGTCCACTTCCATTCAAATATATTTTTCTTATTAGAAATTATAATCCAAAAGTATAGATAAAATGATGGACATTTTAACATTAAAGAGAAAGCAATGGCAAACGTATATCATGTTTATTTCTCTGATACATTTAATAATTTGTTTGATAATATAAGTCCATAATTCTTCCAAATGCTGAAACCAGAAATATAATCTTTTATTTGTTTTTTTTAATTAACATATAATGTATTATTTGTTTTAGGGGTACAGGTCTGTGAATCATCAGTCTTACACAATCACAGCACTCACCATGGCACATACCCTCCACAATGTCCATCACCCAGCCACCCCAACCCTCTCATCCCCCTCCACTCCAGCAACCCTCAGCTGGTTTCCTGAGATTAAGAGTCTCTTATGGTTTGTCTCCCTCTCTGGTTTCATCCCGTTTCATTTTTTCCTCTCTTCCCCCATGATCCTGATCCTCTGCTTTGTTTCTCAAATTCCACATATCAGCAAGATCGTATGAAAATTGTCTTTCTCTGATTGACTTATTTCGCTTAGCATAATATCCTCTAGTTCCAACCATGTTGTTGTAAAAGGCAATAGTTCATTTTTGATGGCTGAATAATATTCTATTGTATATGTATACACCACATCTTCTTTATCCATTCATCTGTCGATGGACATCTGGGCTTTTTCCATAGTTTGGCTATTGTGGACAATGCTGCTATAAACATTGGGGTGCACATGCCTCTTTGGATCACTACATTTGTATCTTTGGATATAATACCCAGTAGTGCAATTGCTGAGTCATAGGGTAGCTCTATTTTCAACTTTTTGAGGAAGCCCCATACTGTTTTCTAGAGTGGCTGCACCAGCTTGCATTCCCATCAGCAGCGTAGGAGGGTTCCCCTTTCTTCTCATCCTCGCCAACATCTGTTGTTTCCTGACTGGTTAATTTTAGCCATTCTGACTGGTGTGATGTGGTACCTCATTGTGGTTTTGTTTGTATTTCCCTGATGCCGAGTAATGTTGAGCACTTTTTCATATGTCTGTGGGCCTTGGATGTCTTCTTTGCAGAAATGTCTGTTCATGTCTTCTGCCCATTTCTTGATTGGATTATTTCTTCTTTGGGTCTTGAGTTTGATACGTTCTTTATAGATTTTTGGATACTACCCTTTTATCTGATACATTATTTGCAAATATCTTCTCCCATTCTGTCAGTTGTCTTTTGGTTTTGTTGACTGTTTGCTTTGCTGTGCAAAAGCTTTTGATCTTAATGAAGTCCCAATAGTTCATTTTTGCCCTTGCTTCCCTTGCTTTGGCGATGTATCTAGGAAGAAGTTGCTGTGGCTAAGGTCAAAGAGGTTGCTGCCTGGGTTCCGCTCAAGGATTTTGATGGATTTCTGCCTCACATTGAGGTCTTTCATCTATTTTGAGTCTATTTCTGTGTGTGGTGTAAGGAAATGGTCCAGTTTCATTCTTCTGCATGTAGCTGTTTTCCAACATCATTTGTTGAAGAAACTGTCTTTTTGCCAGTTGACATTCTTTCCTGCTTTGTTGAAGATTAGTTGACCATAAAGTTGAGGGTCCATTTCTGGGCTCTCTATTCTGTTCCATTGATCTATGTGGCTGTTTTTGTGTCAGTACCATATCATCTTGATGATTACAGCTTTATAATAGAGGTTGAAGTCTGGAATTGTGATGCCAGCAGCGTTGCTTTTCTTTTTCAATATTCCTCTGGCTATTTGGGGTCTTTTCTGGTTCCATATAAATTTTAGGATTATTTGTTCCATTTCTTTGGAAAAAGTTGATGGTATTTTGATAGGGATTGCATTAAATTGTAGATTGCTCTAGGTAGTATAGACATTTTCACAGTATTTGTTCTTCCAATCCATGAGCATGGAATGTTTTTCATTTCTTTGTGTCTTCCTCAATTTCCTTCATGAGTACTCTGTAGTTTTCTGAGTACAGATTCTTTGTCTCTGGTTAGATTTATTCCTAGATATCTTATGGTTTGGGGTGCCATTATAATAGGATCAACTGTTTAATTTCTCTTCCTTCTATCTTGTTTTTGGTGTACAGAAATGCAACTTATTTCTGTGCATTGATTTTGTGTCCTGACACTTCACTGAATTCTTGTATGAGTTCTAGAAGTTTTGGGGTGGAATCTTTTGGGTTTTCCACATAAAGTATTCTATCATCTGCAAAGAGTGAGAGTTTGACTTCTTCTTTGCCAAACCAGATGTCTTTTATTTCTTTTTGTTGTCTGACTGCTGAGGCTAGAACTTCTAGTACTATGCTGAATAGCAGTGGTGATAGTGAGCAGCACTGCCATGTTCCTAACCTTAGGGTAAAAGCCCTCATTTTTTCTGCACTGAGAATGATATTCACTATGGGTTTTTCATAAATGGCTTTGATGATATTGATGTACAAGGCTGTACTTTCTCAAATGCTTTTTCTGCATCTATTGAGAGTATCATATGGCTCTCTTCCTTTTTTTTTTATTATTGTAGTGTATGACACAGATTTGCAGATATTGAGCCAACCTTGTAGCCCAGGAATAAATTCCATTTGATTGTGGTGAATAATCCCTTTAATGTACTGTTGGAACCTATTAGCTAGTATTTTGGTGAGAATTTTTGCTTCTGTGTTCATCAGGGATATTGGTCTGTAATTCTCCTTTTTGTTGGGGTCTTTGGTTTTGTGATCAAGGTAATTTTGGCCCCATAAAATGAGTTTGGAAGTTTTCCTTCCATTTCTATTTTTTGGAAAAGAAAAAGTATTAATTTTTCTTTAAATGTTTGGCAGAATTACCCTGGGAAGCCATCTGGCCCTGGGCTCTTGTTTGTTGGGAGATTTTTGACTACTGCTTCAATTTCCTTGAAATTGGTTATGAGTTTAATCTGCCCTTTTGATGTGTAAATCCTTTGCCCCAAAAGTGAGTAGGACAAGCTTCAAATATAGTAAAGTATTTAAAATTTGAATTTAATTTATAATATATAATGCAATTTGTGCGTATTGGCAGTGAAGAAAATATATTAGACTATCCTTTCCACGTGGGTTCATGTCTACTGATATAGGCTAATATTATCAGTCAGTATACAATTTAAATAAAATTAGTTATATGATGAAACAGCTTTATAAGACTTTCATATAAAAATGTAAGAAATTTAAAATTATATAAGCACTGATACAAATACTAAACTACTATGTGAATGAATCAATACACTAAATTATTATTTTAGCTCCAAGAACTGCATTTTGACTTTTATTAATTATATTTTATGTATAATTTTTTTCATGTGTACTTTAGGACTATTGAGGATTTAAAAATTTTATTTTTTTTTTAAAGATTTTATTTATTTGACAGAGAGAGAGAGAGATCACAAGTAGGCAGAGAGGCAGGTGGGAAGAGGGGGGAGGCAGGCTCCCTGCTGAGCAGAGAACCTGATGTGGGGCTTGATCCCAGGACCCTGAGATCATGACCTGAACCGAAGGCAGAGGCTTAACCCACTGAGCCACCTAGGCGCCCCCCCAAAATTTTATTTTAAGTATAATTTTCCATCTTCATCTTTTTCTCCTACAAATCTCTTTATTTATTTACTTGTTTTGAGATTTTATTTATTTATTTATTTGTCAGAGAGAGAGCGCGAGATCATTAGGCAGAGTGGCAGGCAGAGGCAGAGGGAGAAGCAGAATCCCCATTGAGCAAGAAGCCCGATGTAGGACCCTGGGATCATGACCTGAGCCAAAGGCAGCCGATTAACTGATTGAGCCACCCAGGTATCCCATATTTTTTTTAAAGCCTTTTGTTTTAATCCCAGTTAGTTAAAATACAGTGTTACATTAGTTTCAGGTGTATAATATTGTGATTCAACAATTCCATACTCCACTTTCATCTAAAACCTTTCTACATATCTATGATTAAACCATACCTTCAAAGTAACCATCTCTTCTGGGTTGTGCCATCTTTGGTGATTTTGTAACAGAAACTTTATTTTCATTGTTTTTTAATAATGCTAGGCAAACCATGGGATCTAGATAAAAAGCAAGGTAAGACAAAAGTTCAGCTCTGGCTAATTCTTTCTCTGAAGTGGCTATAATTTTTTATGATACTAAATAGTAACAAACCATTCATATAGTTTTGGTTATCTGATTAAGTACATAGCCAATACTTAATATAAAGCACAAAAATACTTGTAATGTGAAAAAATTATAATAAAATTTTCTAGTTATGGTATCATTTTTTATTTGAGGAATTGTTTTACTATTTATTATTATAGCTCCTTTCTTTAATTCTTAAATATATCTGCTGGAATAAAGAAAAATTTCCATAAATGCATAGTAGGTAAAAGGCATTATTACAGGAAAAATCATATACTCTACTTTTATTTCCTCTGCATATGAGGAGCTGGGATATAGAAGATGTAAGCAAGACAAATGATAAGACAAGAAATAGAAAAAAGATCATTTCACTAATTCTACAAATAAATTAGTGGTTTCTCTTTTGCCTTAATATCTTATATAACAAAGAAGTTGTTCTATATACATTTTATAGCCAAGAGCATTCTAAATCTATTAATTTTATGAAATTAATAGGATGATTATAAACACAGAGCCCTATGATTTATTGGTAATGGGGGATTGGTGCAGTTGCAGTTTTTGTTTGTTGAAGAACTGTAAGAAAAGAAAATAGTGATGTAAGTAACAGAGGATAGAAGAAAAAGCAGAAAGTTATGCATTTAAAGTAGGTTAACATAAAACCACTAGTTAAGGCAGCATACATTTTCTTAATATCTTACATTATCTTGCAAAAGGAGACTTTAAGAATCTTTGCTTAACTAGTATCTAATGCAATATATAATTGAATATGCTAAATGGAAAATTATAATTTTATAAATAATAAAGCCCAACTTACATATTTTAATTAAATGTTAAGGCAGTATATTTTTAGAATGTTAATTAGAAAAACAGAATAGTAGTCACAGAGTTATTTTTCAAGCATGTGGATACCTAATATTTCCATTAATCTAGCAACAATTTATCATTATTAAGCATGATTTACATGGTTCACAGAGATTATATTTCTCAAGATTAGGGAAAATATTTGTCAATTTTTGGGCATACCTCATAATTATATGTGACCAAAGGTATTTTAAGAGTTGGGTAGTTCTATATGAATTCAACATGACATCAATAAAAATAACAAATATTTTAAAGATTTTTTTTATTCATTCATTTGAGAGAGATACAGAGACAGAGAGAGCACAAGCAGGGGGAGAGGCAGAGGGAGAGGGAGAAGCAGACTCCCTACTGAGCTTTCCTCATTATTATCAAGATTAAATAATATATATAAAATATTTAGGAGAGTTATCTAGCTCGATTCACACAAAAAGATAATTTTATTCATCAGGGGCACATAAAGAGTGCTACATTTTCAATATCCTTTCATTCTAAAACATTGTGATTGCAACCTTAAATTTATTAAAACTTACAGTAATGCAAGTTGCAAAGGGATAATGATAAGAAGCAAGAAAAATAGTAATTCTAGATGGGGAAAAAAAATCACTTGATTTTGATAGCCCCTGGAAATATCACTGTGAAATAAGATACTACTCTAACCTCCAAAAATATAAAGTCAAGTAGACATGTCAAGGGACAAGTTTATTGTAAAGAGTACAGCTTGTGGTAGTTTTTTCTTGCATTATAAAATCAGTTTTATACATTTAAATCTATTCCTTTGGGATCATCAATGGTAGGATGATGTTGCAGTTTTTAAAATCTTTTATGTCCCGGTATGACTTGCTCAGTGTCTGGGAAATGGGTTTTAAATACATTTTTATAAAATATTTAAAGAAACCCATAAGAAAGCTGAGTTTCTATTACACATATGACTCTGTATTTCATTATCTCATTTAAGTAACATAATCTATATAGGCATTAGAATATTCTTAAAATTATTTCATCCCCTATATAATCCCTTTTCAGTTTCTAGAGTCCTAATCTTAGCTCACTGGTTGATATTCTTGTTAACTTCATACCTAGAAACCTTATTATCCATTTTTGTATGTACAAGCACATACAAGTACAGTAGTGCTGTAAAATAAGTTATAAGTCAAGGCTGGATGACTAGATGTACTTCATCATTTTATTTATTTATTTATTTATTTATTTATTTATTTTTATTTTTTAGGAGGGGGAGGGACGGAAAGGGAGGGGCAGAGGGAATCTTAAGCAGGTTCCATGCTGTGTGGAGCCCAAAGCGGGGCTTAATCTCACAACCCTGAAATCATGACCTGAGCTGAAATCTGGAGTTGGACACTTAACCAACTGAGGCACCTAGGCATCCCATATTCCATTTTTCTAAGGAGTATTGTTTACTAATTTAAATTTGTCTTCCCAAATAGAAACATATACTTAAATGACTGCAATACATACACCCAGTCATACACGTACACACAGTCAAAAGCATTTAGTGACTTTTATCTAATTTACTGCTGACTTAGTTAATAGTTATTTATTGAACTACCATATGCCAGGCATGGTATCTATCAGGTTCTGGGAATTCAGTGGGGAATAAGGAGAGTCTTGGCCCTCCAGGATCTTACTATTTAAATCGACTTTATTATTGTTTTGTTGAGAGCACACACGATCAAAATTCTTATTCTTTTTGGAAATCACTGAAATAAAATAAATCATCAACAAACTTTATTTTGCCACAGTTTTGTCTATACTCTTCCCTTTTGATCCTTAACACTCATTCTTTAGTTACCCTATCATTTTGCAACCTGATCTCTTTGCTATAGCCCATGAAGTACTCAATTCATATTAAAAAGTTAGCCTAACTCATTTTCTACTTGGCTTCATTCTGGACTATAACTCAGTGTAAACATCACAGTCTCAAGCTATTTTCATCACTGAAATAAAATAAGCAAGTATTTATTAAATGCTTAATATGTATTGAGTGTATATTAGATATTATAAACAGCTGCAAGATAATTCTTATCCCTAGTTGTGGTCCTACCTTTATAACTAAATTAATCTTGTTTGCTTCATCCTACTCTTTATTCACTGTCTGAAATTTGAAATGTGACATGCGTAAATATGATAAATGTTGGAAAATCACATTATGTTTTTGTCCTTATATTCTTAGCCCTCATGATTCTTATCATTGCTCTCTACCCAAACCCTTATACTCAGAATTCATCCTCTCTAAGGAGAGTTCCACATAAACCCCAAGCATCTATTCTCTTCCCCATCCTGGTCCTGTCCATCTTTCTACCAGTTATGTTCACTACTCTTAGGTTATTGACTCGTGTTTTCAATAAACCAGCAACTCTCGACTTACACATGATGTTCTCCACTGCAGTTATAAACCCTAAACTTCCCTAGGTATCTGCTAAATTCTAACACAGATCACCAGGTTCTAAAATTATTTCTGTTCATGAGGCAACAGTAAAAACAAAAAGACAAATTAAAACCCCATAAAAACAAGACCAGTCATTACCTGTTTATGCTTATGCCCATCATATTTATTAAGCAATAACTTACTAGAATAACAACAGTCAGAACACAAACTCAAACTGAGTAAATATAACTCCCCACAATTTTAGATTTCATCCTATGGCTTCCAACCAATTCCTCTTCCCACTTCCTGTCCTCCTCCTGTTTTTTTCTGCTTAAAGCAGATGGCCTCATTTATCCCAATAGAAGTCATCAATACTGAGTCTCCCCTGATGATTGCCTATACCATATGTCTCCCTGGCCCCCTCTTTCTTCACTATCAGCAAACTCAGTCGTATTTTTCCTCTATCTGCAGCTTTCTTAAATAATTAACCCTCTGCCTTTGTCCTGTTTTCATTCTCATCTTAAATCGAATATTGCTATGCGGACTCATACCCCTTGGCTAATAAATACATGTATAAGATACAAACAGGAAGTATGTGTTTGCAACTAAGCAACTTGTGCTGAAGTTTTTCATGGTAGAAATCTGAATTAAAGCTTCCATGATATGTGCAATTATGCCCCATCCCCACAAGGATTACTGCCTTGTTAGACTGGAAGTCTTAACTGATTCCATTTAATTAAGTTTCTATTCTCTGATGCTCCACCCTCCCTGCCCCCTACCCCCAGAGATGGCTAGTCTCCAGCAGTTTTATGGACAATGTTGCCCTCTGGTGGCTTATGATTGTCAAGTTGGCAGGTTAGCCATATAAGATATAGATAGATTAATCGATCTATCTCCACGTATATTACTAGCAAATTTTTAAGGTTTAAGTATCTAAAATATTATTTTAATTTATTAGTAAGTAAAAGTTTAAAATTATGGCCATTATTTTAGGCAGATTTAAATAAGTTCACAGATTGAAATGTAAACAGGAAAGATACTAGAAAGTTCTTTTTCTGTAAGAAGAAAACCAGAGGTACAGAGTCTTAAATGATTCAGTCACAGATACAAAGCGACATAAGTGCTACATTATTAACCCAATAGAAGATTAAAGCATCATAATTGGAGAGGATCCTATTGATTTTCTTTATCGTGACTTCATCCTTAACCTTACTTTGGATATTTCTATTCTGAATATATGTTGTGAGGGGGCAGTAGAGAAAAAGAATGAGAAGAATTTTAAAGGTCATCATTAAGTTTTACATTTCAGAATTCAAATTTTAAAGAAAAATTTGCTTTTATTTTATCAATCTAATATTTTGATCAAACAAAAGTAAAACAAAAACTTAACAGAGACATAAAACCTCCCACAGCAGTAAGAATGAAATTTGGTTTACAATCATGTAATAAGAGTAATGATCCTTATAAAAAATTATACAGTTGCCATTTTGGATTTTTACCCAACAGATCACACATAATGACTATTGCCAAATTGTTAAATTTAAGATGTGGTGTTAACTTGTATGTCTGCTTGTCCTTTTACATTTGTTACCCTACCATGCCACCTTGTGACAGATAAAAATGGGCTTAATTTTTGCCTGATGATGATTATGTCTAATTTTTGTCCATTAAAACAATGGTTTGGTTTTTATGTATGAGCATAAATTCCTTATTAAAATTTTTGCTAAAATCGATTATTTATTGTGCTGATTTATTAAAAATGAGCTCAACAATGAAAACCCCTTAGTTATAAGAATTAGCAAGAAAGACCTATATATTTCCAGAGACAGAGTTTAACAAAACAAACTTTGCTTTAGCTTCATTATCAGAAACTATTACAAACATTGTAAATATCTTCAAAAAATAGCTATTGAACATAAATAAGTAATAATTATTTGTTGAACTTTGGCTGAATCAGTACTTAAGCTACTTCTGATATTTGAACTTCCCCCAGGAGTTTCAGAAACTTTCATTGTTCTCAAAACAGCTACTTATAGAATGTTTGTTGCACCCACTATTGTTAAGAGTTTGGAGTTACTATTTCCCTCATAACTACCAGATAGTACTCAGTTAACTGAGTTCTGATGAATTTAACAGGAGTTTACATCACAGGAGTATGGGAAACACAAAGCAAGTTGAATAGAGCACATACTCACATTTTCTTTAAAAATGCTTAAAATTTCACTCTCTCAAACCTGACACATGCAATGAAAAATACTACATTATCTCAAAAAGATAAAAGGTGTCACTAATATAACAATAAAAAAGGAAAGTTGAACATTTGTGAATATCAAAATAAATCATCAGGAATTTATCAATAAAGTGCTATGTCAAAAAATATCAGCTATTTCTTGGAAACCAGTGGTATTTTGGTTATTTTTATTTTAGTTTTTTTTAATAAATATATATATATACATTTTTAAAATTCAATGGATTAATGATTAAAATAATAAGTGGGAAAATTAATAAAGAAAAATTAATCTTCTGAATGCTTCTTTGAATAATTATATAAGCTAGAACTATAAGATAGATTCTCTGTTTTTCTCAGGACTAATGGTACTTTTATGAAAACATTTTACTGATGTTAAAATCATTGTAAATTAAGAAGCTGTTGAACAAGAAAAACAAAACAGCTTTTAAAAAGAGGTCACATTACTTATATTAAACCTATGAGTCCATGAGTAAATATAAAGTTACAAGTAAATGCTAAGTTATTGTATATAACTTAGTTTAAGTATATAGTATATTAGTATATTAGTATAGTATATAGTATAAGTATATATATATTAAGTATATTTGCTTAACTTAGTTAAGCAAATAATTTTAAGTAGTTTTAATCATAGATATAAAGTCATAATGGCCAGCTATTTCTTGCCCTGAGACTATAAACTAGTCCGCTATTAAGTAATGATACTAAATGATTAGAGGTACCCAAAGAAGCAAATGATTTGGAGAATCAAATGGGATAGAAGAAAGGATACTTCTGAACATTTCCCAAGTTCAGCATAATCCTGAAGATAAACATTGTATTTCTTTCCCAAAATGAAGCTGTGAAGCCCTCACAGCTAATATTCATGAAGCTAACAAGTTTATAGAAATAATTTATCAAACAATCAAGCAATTTAAAAACACAGAAAGGAATAAGCACATGAAGCACTCTTTAGAATAAACACTTGTCAAAGTGAACCAATTTAGAAATAAATTACACCATAATTCTCAATGCACAATAGACAGAATTATCAATAACAAAATAAATAAGAAATAGGGGGAAGTGAAGATAGCATTTAAGTGCATAACAAATCATTTAATGTAATAACATAATTCTTGTTAAGTTTCCTTAAGTTTTCAGAATTATTACCATAGATATACTCATATCTGTGAATTTTATTTCTGTTCTTATTAAATATTATTAAATATGATTTGGGAAATAATATTTTAAAAGAATTTATCTTCAATATCAGACACAAAATTATTATTCAAAGAGCATTCATCACCCACCTAATTTTTTCCTTAATTTCTTTGATTTCATCTTCTGTGCTCTCTTCAACATTTGCTGAGCAGTAGCAATATCCTTAAAGCCCCTATTAAAAGATTAAATTTAATAAAGGCAAAACAAATATCCAGACCATATTAATATATGCATATGCATATAAACATACATATCTGAACTATATAGATTCCCATTTAAGAATCTGTAACATGCATACAGTTTCTTAAAAACTAATAATTCATAGAGTCTTGAAAAATAACTGCCCTAAACACTTAAAAGTCTCTCAATTTCTTCATATTTTAGTGTAAAATAGACCACATACCATTCTTTTGAAATTTTTTCTTCTTTTTCAGTTTTTAGCAAACTCTTTCCGCTGGTCTTTGATTCAGGAGTCCAGGATAAAGTCCTATTTTGTGCTCTGGCAATAGAAAAAAACTATACTAACTGAATCAACACAAGTATATCAGCACTTTTTAAAACTACAAGCTGTTTATGTTGTCTCAAACTTGGAAATAAAATCCATTTAAGTTACAGAAAAACTTTATCTTGAAAAGTAATAAAAGTCTGCCATTAATTTAAAATGTTTACATTTCAATTACTTGAAGCATATTTCAATCCTTTTGTCGAAAGAAATGCAGCACTGGAATTTTTATTCTAATCCTTATCTCTACCTATATAGTAGTATTTAAAAGTTCACTTGTTTACAACCATTAATGACATTATTTCACTGACACTTAACTTTTGTTGTTGCTTTAAGGAAGCTACCTACCTCACACTTTTTTTTTTTTTTACTGAAAACCCCGTAAAATGATTACACTTTTAACATTAAATGCTCTTCCATCTTCTATACAAGCAAATTTGTACCTACTTTTCATCATTTTACTATTATTGTAGTAAGTGTAATACTCTCCTCATGGGTTGATCCTCTAAAAGAGTAATATAATGTAGCTTACCTGCTATTAAACTGTGTGTGTTCTGATGAAAACAAATCTTCTTTCTCATTACACAGCCATGCTTGAGCTGGATGACTTCGTAAATTCAGTGAAGTATCATCATATTTTAAGGTTCCAGAGAACTTATCAGGAAAGTAATGTATATTAAGTATAAAATAAATTGAAAAATTCCAGCACTTATATATTACTTTACATGCATATTATTGAGCAGTCTCCCAAGGAAAACACATACAAAAATTGAAAATTATAATAAATTTATGCAATACACATAAAAATGTACTTTATTGTATTGGTGGGGGGTATGATTTTTGGTATTGTTTGCATATACAGAATGATTAATTGCAAAGATCTTAAAAATATCAGAAAACAGAAACTTCAAAGATTATCAAATAAATAACAGATATTGCAGTCCATTGACCTCTGACTGAGAATCTTCAGCTGTTGCCCTCTTAATGCATATTTTTGTATTTTTAAAGTGCTGTCAACCAGTGATTTTAGTCTACTGCCAAATATGCAGCTGAAGTATATCTTTTTTTTTTTTTTGCTACTGTGAAATAAAGTGTTGAAAGAAATCCAAAATAAAGAAAAAAAATAGGAGCAAATGAAAGAAAAGCTATATGAAAAATTACATCTGGGGATGAGGAGGAAGTCAGAGGCTTCTAAAAGTAATTGTGTTTTTCAAGTCAATAAATTGCATTATTAATCACTGCAGCACAGCATAACCTTAAAAATGAGAAAAGATGGAGCACTAAGAGATTTCCATGACATGTTACCTTTGGCCAGTGCAGCTGGTTTGGGACAAGCAGTGTTTGTGAAGGAAAGCGGGTGGAATCTAAAGTTAGCCATTCTTTCTCTAAGGCAGCCTGCACAAATAATAAACAATGTACATAATTCAATTGCATCATGTTTACAAAGAGCCTTTTAAATTGTCTTTTATACGACAAATATTAAGAGAATATGTAGGAGTTTTTATTTACAGGAAAATATGCTACTTGCTATTGTGAGATGTTATACACCTGTTTAATGCAAACATTGTAAAAAAATAAAAGACTTCTCAGCCCTAAGTGGGATAAAGTGAGAATTTGAGTACTCAAGTGTTCCAAAAAACAGATTGCTCAGTGTATTTAACTATTTGATAACCATGATTCTGAGCCAACTCCGGATGTAACTGAGGGAAATAAGCTTTAATCTCTTTATAATGCAAATTTTAATATTTTCCACCAAACCTCACTATTGAGAATTTATGGTATTTTAACACATTAGTATCAATTTTTCCATAAACACTGTCTATATGATAGCTTTTACTTAATTTCTTCAAAAATTTCACAAATTTTCTGAATAGGTGGAAAAATAAATTTTGTGGCAACATAAAAATCACGGATCCTAATATTAGAGTCTCTAATTCAAGTGTGTGGATGATAAAAAATGTAAATTTAAACTTTGAAATGATACTTTTATAAGTCCCTTCACTTTTTAATCTTAAAATATCTTTATTCCATTTATGTAATTTATTTTATCTTTTGACAGAGGACCTATACTAAGTATGCTATTGTTACAGCATTTAGGATATCATTATCTAAATTTTATTGCCTGGATTAGCTAATATGGTTTAGAATAAACTTCTGTGGTTCTATGAAGTTTTGTGAATCTACAAAAAAGATTAGAATGCCCATGAACTTGTTTTTTTTAAAAAGTTCTAAAAAAATCAGACATTTGTCATGTTTATTTTTAAAGATTTTTAAATTTTATTTATTTATTTATTTATTTAGATTGTATTTATTTATGAGAGAGAGAGAGAAATTATGAGCATGAGCCAGAGAGGGGCAGAGAGAGAGAGGGGAAGGAGACTCCCACTGAGCAAGGAACCCTATGTGGAGCTTGATCCCAGAACCTTGAGATCATGACCTGAGCTAAAAGCAGATGCTTAGCAGACTGAGCCACCCAGGTGCCCCTTTTTAAAATATTTATTTATTTATTTATTTAAGAGAGAGGGAGAGCAAGAGGGGAGGGGCAGAGGGAGAGGGACAGGGAATCTCAAGCTGACTCCGTGCTGAGCAGGAGCACTACATGGGGCTCAATCTCGTGACCCTGAGATCATGACCTGAGCCAAAACCAAGAGTTGGTCACTTAACTGACTGCGCCTCCCAGATGCCCCAATAGTCAAACATTTATGATTTAAAAACTAGAATGATTATATTCTGAGGAGAACTAAATGTTATTTTCCATTTATACAATTTTCAGTGTTTCTTGACTAAGCAGTTGTTTGACAAGTACAATGTCCAATTTTTTCCAGGCAGACATTATTAGCATACATATCACAGTTATATATGTTTTAAGAATAAATATCTGGTTTAAAATGTGCTATTTGATGCAAACAGGATTCAAGGCTCAGATTTTTTAATTCTTTATTTTATGTGGCAAATAAAGAAAAATCCAGTTCAATCCCAGGAAAGATTAAGGCCCATGGCATAGCAATGATCATCAAATTCGTATTCTTACTCTGATGAAAACTATTAAAGTGAAGAGAGAATGTGAAAATGTGGAGACAATACAATGAAAGGCAATGTGGCAGAAGATTCTGGGAAGATGGTGGAGTAGGAAGAATGGGGACCCTGTCTCCCAACCTAGAAAATGATTGCATTTGCAGAATCCATCTGATGTAACTATTTGGGAACTCTGGAATCTATTGATGGCTTATAACTTCCAGGGGAAAACTTGGATGGTAAATTGGGGTTAATTTTAGTCAATTTCAGCTTTTGGCACAGCTGCCAGCTCTACCCCCTGGCCCTGAGTTAGGCAGCTATTCAGGAGTAGCCTGCACATAGCTTGTAGAGCCAGAGTGGACAATAAGGACCCTGTCCTCCAAATATGATGATCTATGCACTACTCATTGATTACTTCTGATTCAGAGGTGCAAAGATGTGGGTGTCCTTGTACTTCCCCTCTTGTTGCAAGCCCCTGCCCTACCAGCTAAGTGATTTCCAAGGGTTTTAATGGCTGGTGTCCTTCCCTTACCCCTTCACTTTTCTCTTTTTCATCTTTTGGGAGTGAGATATCAAAGACTAGGATGCACATTTTTTTTTTTTTAAGGCTAGAATGGGGTACCTGGATGGCTCAGTCATTAAGCATCTGCCTTCAGCTCAGGCCATGATCCCACGGTTCTGGGATCGAGCCCCACATTGGGCTCCCTGCTTGGTGAGAAGCCTGCTTCTCCCTCTGCCACTCCCCCTGCTTGTGCTCTTGTTCTCGCTGTGTCTCCCTCTGTCAAATAAATAAATAAAATCTCAAAAAAAAAATAAATTATAAAAAGACTAGAATATTCAAAAGCATCTGCACATATGTGGGAAATTAGATTGTCAACAAACATATATAGGGGAAGGCACAGGCTCAGAAAAGACCTGAGGAGACCTTAAGTTTATATAAAACTCGGGCTGATACTCAGCACAGAGACAGACTACAATAATATAGAAACAAACATTAATAAAAGCAAAAACAAAATCCCAGCAAACCCTGGGGAAGAGAATCTAATTTCTAGAGTCACCATAATCATTACATTCAATATCCAATTGTAAATAAAAAAAAAAAGTCACAAACCATTCAAAGAAACAGAGAAGTTTATGGCACATTCAAAGGAAAAATAAATAAATCAAGCAAAACTATCCTTAAATAAAGACCTCATGGCAGATTTACCAGACAAAGATCTTTAAATAATTGTTTTAAAGATATTTAAAGAACTAAAAGGAGGGAAAATGATGTATAAACAAAACAGAAATATCAATTAAGAGACAGAAAATCTACAGAGAAATCAAGAAGAAAATTTGGAGTTCTTAAGTGCAGTAGCTGAAATGAAATATTCCCTAGTGGGATTCACTAGAGAGATATGTCTCTGAGTAGGCAGATAAAAAATTAGTGAGCTTGAAGATAGGACAATATAATTATCAGGTTTGAGGAATAGAAAAGAAAAAAAAAGATTGAAGAAAAGTGAACCTAAGGGACCTGTGAGATACCATCAAGCAGACCAACATATATACCATGGAAGTCATAGAAGGAACAGAGAAAGAAAGAAGCAGAGTGCATATTTGAAGAAATAATGACCAAAATTTTCCCAAATTCAATGACAGACCTGAATATAAATATCCAAGCAACTCAAAGAACTGGAAATACAATGAACTCAGAACCCACACTGAGACACATAATCAAACTTTCAGAAGCCAAAGACAGAGAATCTTGAAAGAAGCCAATGAGAAGTAACTTATCACATATAAGGAATCCTCAATAAGACAGCTAGCAGATTTCTTATCAGAACTTTGAAGCCCTGAAGGCAGTGAGCTGATGTATTCAAAGTGCTAAAAGTTAAAACAAAAAAACAAAAAACAAACAACTGTCAACCAAAATTCCTATATTGTCAAAACTGTCCTTCAAAATCAAGAGAGAAATTAAAAGAGTCCTAGACAAACAAATGCTGAGAGAGTTCATTACCTTTAGGTCTCCCTGAAAGAAATGCTAAAGAGAGTGCTGCAGGTGGAAATAAAGAGACAAGCGGCAATTGGAAGTCGTGTGGAAAAAAAAAAGAAGATCCCAGTAAAGATAAATACATGGGAAATTATAAAAGCCAATATTATTGTACCAACAGTTTGTAACCTTACTTTTTGTTTCTACATGATTTAAAGAGACTAATAGAGAAAAAAAAAAAAAAAACTATAGCTTTAAAAACTAGTATTATTGTGACTTTGGTTTATAACTCCTCATTTAGTTTCCTACATAATTTAAGGCACTAATGCATTTAAAGGAATTATTGGTTTATGTATATAAAGAGGTAATTCTGTGATGTCAACAACTGAAAAGGGTCGAGATGGAGCTGGACAGGAACAAGTTTTGGGGATGCTATTGAAGGTAAGAGGGCATAAATTCAAACTGCAGTGTTACAACTTTAGAATGTTAAGAAAGATTGAGAAGTTACTGTTTAATAGCTATATAGTTTCAGTTTTACAGGATGAAGAGAGTTCTGGATATGGATTAAATGGTGGTGATAGTAAAACAACTTTATGGATGTATTTAATACTATTGAATGTACACAAAAATTAAGACAGTAAATTTTATGTGTATCTTACTAAAATTTAAAAAATTGGAAGAAAAATTTGAAAGGTAATGAGGACTAATGGTGGAAAGGACCAGTATTGCCAGGTAAGGAGCCTTATTTATACACTGTTGTGTACACACACACACATACACACCTTTTCTTCTTTTAAACACCTGCCAACCATCTCCTGTTTTATATTCTCTGGGACTCAAGTTGTTTTCTTTCTACAGCAGGCTAAAGACTCACAAAGAATGATTTCTCTGCCATAGCACATAGATGTTGATGAAGTCTCTTTCTTAAGCTAAACAAAGTCTGGGGAAAAAACTTAGTCTTTAAGTTGATATTTAAAAGTGCAGAAAACATTGAAAATAGTTTTTCTTGATTTTTAATGCAAGGTCACAAACTTTTGTAAGATTCCAGAACAATTCTTTAACCACTATCTCAGAAATTTCTAGAAGCATAAAGAGAAGGCTTAGTATAAAATGCTAAAGATACTTTTAGTGATTATATAATCACAACCAAAAATGTTACCAAGACTACTGATTTATGTGAGTTCAAGCTTATTAATATCTAGTATATTTGGCAGTACTTTGTTGAAAAAAAACCTCAAAATGTCAAGAGAAATTGGCCAAGATTATAAATATACTACTGTTTTAAAAATGTATATTAATATATCATGCTTACCACTGGACATTTATACAAATTTCAGTTTTTGCTTAAGAAAACCTTCTGTTCAAATATTCTTTAACTTACAACTGAGGATTTGGAAAGCTTTCTGGTTAT